TTAGAAATCATACCGCAAACGCTATGCCTTCTTGCATATAAATGTAAATGTGTACGAATCCAGTTAAGGTTCAAAAAGTGGGATATAAATTACTGACTAGCAGAGGATACCATAAAAAATCATTTATGGCATTCCGTCATATGATAGGAAACTGGCATCATAGTGAAGACGACCAGAATACGCACTGCAGCGCGTGAGAAAATGGCACACGCAAACGGCCCTTTGTTGATGGCGACAATCTGATTTTCTGAGAAAAGAACAACCTGAAGTTACATTAGCATTCATTTGCTGTATATTCGCTTCCACTCACGGGAAAAATATGATAAGAGAGTGCCAAAAAAAGTTTCCGTCCTTCCAGATTGCTGGCCCCCTCCCCGTGTGCCCGACACACTACAAGACTTGAGTTAACTTCAGCACGTTTCCTTTGCGATTCCTTAGAATACCGCACGTTCCTGAATGTTGTTGTTCACAATGGAAATTTGGAATGAAGATTTGCGGACGCGGTTGAAAGGAGTGCCTCATTTTCTCATGTGTCTTTGAATTACTAACCGACTCCATTCTTAAATAATTCGTTTCTGTGTGGTGTCTCACGTTGCTGTGCGCAAATGTGCTTCTTTCCGTCTTCGTCTTTGTGTAGATGAATGTGTTCCAAAGACAAAGTGTGAAGCAAGATACACACCCTGCAAATCACGTTTGGTTATAGATTTAAATACACTCATGTAGTCTTCCTGATTCAGTCCATGTACTCTCATGGTATTTGCAGACTCTTCGGCAAACACGCTCAAGCACGCAAATGCAAGGGTGCCGCTGCATGGCAAACTCTTCTGCGACCAAGGTGTGCTCCCTACCAGTTTCCAGATGTCCCAGAGTGCATCTAAACCACACTCATTGTGCGTGGAAGATGTAGTGGCCAACACACAGGACCATTGCCCGTTTCTCGTAGGCTCTGTCAACGGCGACCGATATATTGGTATTAAGAACGATCATCCAGGCACTTGGGGCGGATTTTGACTTTTCGTTTCGCCCATAATACATTAAATGTTATCTTCTGTTTTATACGGAAACTGGAATGAAACATGCTGCTCGAACGAGATGAAAAAACCGAGAAGGACATTGGTTCGACTCCACCTGAGTCTTAGCTTGTTCTTCCATCTATTTTCACCATACTGATATCGGTGATGTTGGTGATGCTTAGTGTGAACGTCAAACATGCTGATGTCAATGGCTGTATTCAAGTAACTCCTTTTTGCTTGGTGCGATACTAGATGTATTGTCTCCAGGCCGATTATTTATTTACTTGGACTAGTTCCTTTATCAATTTCTTGCTGCAGTAGTCATATCTCTCTTTTCTTTGGATGCGTTTTCGTGCTTTTTCGACATAATTATGATTTACTAAGGCAGAAAGAGGTGCTGGTTGATCATCTTTGTAACAATGACATCATTGAAGGTCCTTGGAAGTTTTCAATCATGCTGATATAACCTAACCTACATGTATGTGCGTCATTTCACATTTATATGTTACTGTACATGTATCTGCACGTACATGTTGTTGTGACGAGAGAGTTTTGATCTTCCTCATTCAAGCAGAGCAGTGCTTACAGCAGGTGTTGCAGTGTTTTTGATTGCTAGGGCTAAGTAGTTCGAGTTTGCGTTTAGTAATTGGCTGTTCAACTGTGCACCAGTATCCATGTCTGCGAGACTAACCTGGCTTTTTATAGTACACTAAGACAGAAAATGACACTAGAGAAAAACACAATTTGTGTAGAATGTTCAATGTGTGCATTCCTTACATACATATAAATACAACATAAAGTATTAGTTCTAATCTAACGTGTGTGTCGCCCTGGAAACGCAGCGTCTTTTTAAGTTTGTATCCCTCGTGATGGATTGGTGGGTAGATTACTAAGAATAGAAGTATGTCTCTTCAAGCACAATCAGCATCAGCCTACTCAAGCTCAGCTGATGCAGAGCGATTTCCCAGCAATGAGCAGAGAGTGGTGCTCTCTTGAAGGTTTGACGAGTGGTAACGTAACATTTTACCGAAATACGCTTGGTTCCCACACAAATGGAAGTACAGTGTACATGGACGGCCTGTTGAGTGTCGTGGCAGCATCCTTACATTTTATCCCTACATGTACTACATAAATGCGTGGGCAAATCCGTACCTCTACAAAACTGACTAAGGGTCGTAGTCAGAGCATTGTTTTCTCACCCCGTGCTTCTATCGCCTTGTAACATCTAGAGAAAAGACCCAGCACTCAGAACAAGTACTTCTATTAGCTCTGAACTCAAAAATCAACTGACCATGCCTGCATAAAGATACTAGCTTAGCGGTACGCAAGGCGAACACGTGGCCATCCAACAAATTACGTTATTTTCGACTCTCCCTTACACACCACAGCAACAACAATAGAACTACAGGGTCGCAGCAACAGGTAGGTGCTCCATTCTTGCACCGCATAATTATGTATTAATACAACTATGCCACATGCATAGACAAGCATTAAAACATGATGTTGGCAGCGTCGTACACATCGCTTTAGCATAACAAAAGGAAAACAACGCAAGACAGTAAGCGATCCAAGCCATGGTACACTGGATACATGAACTCCCGATAAAAATGCGACCACCACGGCCTAGTGCACTGATTAATTGGAATAGCCGCCAGCGATAATGATGGAGATGCTGATTAACCCCATATAAGCCAGTCTAAAGCCATTTTGCTACCTTAATCAGTACAGAATTGTCTGAAATTAGCCTTCGCGACTTGCACCAGCGCAGCACCCCTCCCCCCCCCCCCCACACACACACGGAAACATGCTCGCCACATACACACACTGCTGCTTACTCAGCCAACAAATCGATATGCACATACATATCTAGCAATGACTATCCAATCGGGTGGGTGGGTGGGATTTGCAACTGTACACCACAGTGCAAGAACAACAAGAACACTGTCTTCAGACCAGCATGCACCTTCATGTGCATGCTGCAACTCCGCACTGTCCAGCTAGTGCGTAACGCACTCCCAGCACAGTCCGTAAACTCTGGACTGTGCACTCGCGTTTCGAAAAGAACAGCATTTCTTGTTTACTTCGTTGCTCTCATCCAACAAGGAATGAGGCATTTCGGACATGCAGTCTCGCGTGGTGCACTTGGAGATGGGCGTTAGTCTTGACGTGGATGGATTCATGAACGCCTTCATGCGGATGACGAGCAGGCGCGGTGATCCACTACAGGTTCTGTCCGACAATTCCACCAACTTCGAAGGCGCTGCCAATGAACTGCGGAGATTAGTGGGCGCGATGAATGAAGGCGTGGACCGACGATTAGCGGACAAGGGAATTCGGTGGTCCTTCAATCCCCCCACTGCCCTTCACTTCGGTGGCGTCCATGAGGCGCTCGTCAAGTCAGCAAGGCGCGCCATCTATGCGATCCTGTCAGGCGCGGAAGTCAATGACGAGGAACTCATGACCGCAGTGACTGGCCCAGAGGCACTAATGAATTCAAGGCCACTTACGTACCAGTCGGCCGACGCGAGAGATCTGTGGCCACTGACGCCCAACCATTTCCTGTATGGACACCAAGGCGAGCCATTTATTCCCAGAGGAACGGACACCGTGGAGCAAGGCCATCGACAGCGCTGGCGGGTCATCCAGAGTCTGGTGTTGCAAGTGTGGAAGCGCTGGATGACCGAAATGCTTCCCCTGCTTCACCGCGAGCAAAACGGCGCCAGCCGCAACCCGATCTCGATATCGATGATGTTGTGCTGATCGTCGACGCTGCTGCACCCCGAGCCCAATGGAGGCTCGGCCAGGTAGAGCAGCTGTTCACCGGAGTCGATGGGTGGGTCAGAGTGGTGCGAGTGAAGGTCGGTGACACTTCACTTGTCTGCCCCATTGCACAGCCGTGCAAGATTGCCACGGATTGACTCTGTGTGTGAGCGGCACATTTTTGCTCGTATCTCTCCTCATCTCTCTCCACTGCTTTTTGTTCGGTCTATTTCTTTATCGTTTTATTGTGTACTTGATTAAATCTGGTTTAATCAAGGTAGGGGAGGATGTTCAGAAGGTCTTCCGATGAGACACACTGATTGTGACGTCACGATGCATTCCATATATCGCATGTTACATACCAATAAGTTTGCTACTCGCTGCGCCTTGCACGCCGCGACACACTTGGACTATGCATGCCTTTTCCGTGTGATGCGTCGTTTGCACCACGTGGCTCCTGTTATTTGAATTTATTTGAATCTCGCGTGCTTTTCTTTCTGGGTAAAACCTATTAATATATTATTGTTTTCCGTTCTGTTCTGGCGGTTTTTGGTCTTGCCAAGACGTTGTCAGCCAGTCAGTTTTGCTTGTCAGAAAAGTAATGACAGTTGATGAACACCTCTGAAACTCACTGTTCTATTCGGCCTCATTTCCTGCATGGATATTATTTTGTACTACTTGACCTAGAAGTCTTAGAATCCAAAACCTGCGTGGAACATCCCTTAGAACTTGGAAATAAATTTTGCAAATATCTGTAATCGTGTGGAAACTGAACATCCTCAGTCCTCGATCATTCAAATACCAACACTTCCAACATTTTACAGTAATGTGAAGTGTTCTATGTTATAAAAGACTGAACAAAATTCGGTATGATGAAGATTGTCACCTTCTCGTCTTGTTATTTAGACGAGTTTGAGCTACAAGTACATAATTATGATTACCGCAATCCAGCCGATCACTTGCAGGTGACTGCATACAAGCACTGTCCTAGACTCCACCCCCTCCCCAAACGCACGCCATGGCATCAGTAAAGTAAGGTAACAGGGATTCGCGGCAGCATCACCTGACGTGTCTAGGAACACATCAAGCTAAATACATTTGCATCGGCGGCCCACCACTTCGCATATATCCTCATTGACAAATGCAGACCTGACAAGTGAGTCCGAGGCAGGGGAGAGGGGTTAAGGTCTCTCAACAAATGATTGGCACAATCATTCACACTTCTCAGAAATTTCCACCAGTTATCACAAATGCAGACAGTACCGTGGGCTCCGTTCTTGGGTGCCTGAAAAAATATGGCACGCACGGTTTTTGTCCTGTAAGCATACAACAATGACGAGACAACCACTAAAATCAACCATTATGGCATGCTAGTGTGTCCAGGTTGGTGTGTGATATGCTACCACTCAAGTACGAGACCAAAGCAACCAAATTTAGTTGCACGATATACAATTATATTATGTAGATGTGACACACCGAAAATATAATATCACTAGACCCTACTCGTACAAAGTCCAAAAGGTACGCTACATGCATATGGGTGCACTGGTATACAGTAAGCAGCAGGTATTTATTGCATGAATATCAGTAAGCCAGAAGGAGCTTATCCCCGCTCGCCACGGATGCGGCGTGCCAGCTGGATGTCCTTGGGCATGATGGTGACACGCTTAGCATGGATGGAACACAAGTTGGTGTCCTCGAAAATGCCGACCAGGTAGGCCTCGCTTGCTGCCTGCATTGCAAAGAGGCACAAGAGAAGGGTGCAGATCAGAGAGTGCACAGAAGGCCCAACACACCAGGGCAAATCACAGCAAAAGAAAACTGAAGAAAAAACCCAAATATGACTGTGTCGAATCCCATGACCTGAAGAGGCCGAAGTCCACCACAGATAACGCTTAGAAGTCTAACATGACTGGGGGTAATGGTGGAAAGTAAGTAAGTACAACGTTGTCTGAGATTTTTTACGTTTCCTTTCTTGCTATTCGATGCTGTATGCTTTTGTACGAGTTCTGGCCATCAGGTTCCTGTGTAATGCGACGCCGTGCTCACATGGATGTGACCGTTCAACATCTTCGTATTTCCGTTGCACTTCTTTCGTACCCTACCTGAAATTTCTATCAACCCACATGTACACAATACAGGAGGTACAAAAAAAGAATTAAAGTAGGAGTGTTTCGTTGTGACTCAGAGTTTGATGGTTAAAACCAATCATGAGACAACACTTTTGTGTGCCTATTGCGTACTACGCTCTGCCTTTTTCGGGCATTTGAGCACTATTGCAGATTTCACATTTTGGGGGACAAAATTCGTAGTATCCCAAATGATGTCCACAATGTTTTTATATCAATTTACATCAAGCTTGCCAGCATAATTGCTGGAACGCTGCCTGACGGGTGCCACACGGGTGCCACGCAAAATGCCAATGAAAGCGTTAACGCTATGATCTGGGGCATGTGTGCGAAGGAGAAGTTGTGGGAGCTGACACACTGCGTCTTGCTGTTGGCCTGGCAGTGTGAATTTCAACACGGGAGCCAAGGCACTAGCCCAGATTCTTCAGACTGCAGGATGCCCCGTTGGTGAATACACCGTGGAGACACTCAAACTGGAGGACAATGCCCGTATTGCCAGTTCGATACGCAAGGCTTCTGGAGAAAAGGAAGAAGCGTAGGAGGAAGAGGTTGGAGGAGGCTACTATGAGAAGGATGGTGTCACTAACCAAACCGGATTCTTCTGACCAAGTCATTGGGTGTCAAGGTACTGTACTGCCTATTTGTTTTTCGTATGCTTCATATTTTGTATGGCATGTAGTGGTTTTTCAGAATCAGGTGGACACCAGACAGTACGTTTGCCTAAAATCAACCTGTTGCAGTGAACGTCAGCGACAATTCATGCTTGTGGAATCTGATCTTTTTTGCGGCGATACGGCATTTCATCTTTGAGTACCCACAAGCCTGCTATTTTGCTTTTGCCACACTAAAGAACACCCAGGTGCACTCGATTTACATGCTGTGACTCCAGGTAGGACTTCTCTTCAGTCCTTGTACAGATAGCATTCTTGAAAATTTGCGCGGAAATTTGCGTGCATAAAATGTTGCTATAGGCCTAGTTGAACAAGCTGTAACGTGTTTTTGACCGTCCTTATGCTATTTATTATAACAAGTGTTCACTACAGTAGAAGGAGTTTGGTGTGAGAAGTGTGTGTTCCAAATTTGAAGGTGATCCTTTATCCCTACCCTATACTACAACCGATAGTTTGTGAATAGATGCGGAAATGGCCGGCAAAGTTGTAATCCCCCCACTGCCTCTGTGTACACAATACATATTTTCAATAGTACCTGATTCTTTTGGTCAGGCTTCCCCCCTGTGTAGAACATGCTCGTTAAGTTCATCATACAATAGGGAACTACTTCTCAGCGAGTAAATAACATTCCCGTTTTCTTAACCTGATCTTTTGCCCTAATAGTCATACCAGAGTTTTGAGCACATACAGTATTTGGAGTACTTCTTGTTAACAATTGAACAAAGAGTACATAACGACTCCTGATGCTGTACTGTGACTGTGATTAGCATTACTAGTACAAGTACTTGAGGTGGAACTCGTCTCTTTGCCACTTTGGACAGAGTTTCGCCGCCCACACACAACTGCTGACACCACGATCTCATAACCCCGAAGAGTGTGCAACTCCTGATCAGTCCCTGTATGGAAGCCCGCTCGGCGGAATTCCTTCATTGCGTCATTTTTGGTTCAGTGCGAGGTGTCACGTCTATGAATTCTTCTAAAATTTACAGTAAAACCAGGATGCTTCCCCAGGGTAAACTGCCTAAACTTCGATTCTAGTTTGAGCCTCAAGGAGCAAAAGGGAAAGAGAGGGAGAGAGGGAGAGAGACATAGACAAATAGAGAGAGAGAGATAGAGAGAGAGAGAGAGAGAGAGAGAGAGAGAGAATAGCCCAATATCAGAATGAAATGATTGTCCTCGACGGCAATGCAATATTTTTAACAGCGTCCTCACTTCTTCCTGTCGCGATGTCCATGTATTATTGGAGAAAGAGTTTGTTTTGAGAAAGTACGACTTGCACGTCCAAAATGTTCTCAAAAAAAGCTTCGAAAAGTTGAGGCTACAGCCTTAAGTTAGAAGCGGTTCAGGGTATAGTTATCCGGAAACCGCAAAAAAACCCAAATTTACCTCGGGTGACAAGCTGCGCATGACGTAATGTAGGAATTTCGCCCAGCGCTGGGTCTATGCTCGTTGCACAATCTTGGGGGTTATGAACTCTTGCTGACACCCACACGTACGAAAGAAGTATATCGAGAGGACACCCACCTCCGCAAAAGCTAAGCAAAATACTTTGCGATTAGTAGCGTTAAGCGATGGCCAGTGTCCATAGCGCTATATTACTAGTATATGTATGTAGTCTTGTAGAGCCGTGAGTTTCCTCATGTTCATATTACAGTGGATTCGTCAAATTATAGGAAAGCGAACACAGCCTACGAAACAAAGACTTTAGACTTACCTGAAGAGTACCAATGGCCGCCGACTGAAAACGAAGGTCCCTCTTAAAGTCCTGACCGATTTCACGAACAAGATTTTGGAAGGGCCGCTTGCGGATGAGAAGCTCAGTGGATTTCTGGTAACGACGAATTTCACGAAGAGCGACAGTACCAGGACGATATCTGTGAGGCCTCTTCAATCCACGAGTTGGGGGAGCACTCATACGAGCAGCCTTGGTGACAAGCGCAAGCTGCTTCCTTGGACCTTTTCCTCCAGTTGACTTACGGGCAGTTTGCTTTGTTCTAGCCATGCTGACACAGAAACAGTTTACAGAATTTGCTCTTTAGTCCTCTCAACGACTTCGGCAATGAACAACTAAGCAAAGTGTACAACACAAACCAGATACTTGTACAGTCAGTGTGGCCTATAAAGTTGGCGGCTATTGCTAATATTATACCGGCTGGAGTGATCACTTTTCTCAAATTTATTTTAATCGGCATAACTAAGTGCACACAGTTATCGGGTGTATTAATAATCCCCTATAGTAATATATCGCCTATAGTGATGAAATTCATTTTCAAAAGACCTTAATTACATTATTTTTGCATCGGCTATAGTGATTGATGAACACATGTAAAATCAAGTGCTGTCAGAGGAGAACAGGGTGTTACTTCTTCGTGAAGAACTTACTCACCAGTGCTGTTTGGTGCGTTCTGCTTGTAAAAGTTGCGAAATATGCCTCCATCGTGAGGAAATGCTGATGTTGTGTGTCAGGATATAGACTGTAGCCAGCTATGCAGTGCCTACATGTATGTGCACAGACAACTGAGTCAATTGACACCCCGCTCGCATATATTGCATGCAGTATCGGTCATAGTAATAATTATATCGCTTATAGTGGTAAAATGCTCAAAAGCAAACACCAACGCTATAGGCGATACTGACTGTAAGTCGAAACTAACTTGACCGCTATAGCTGGCGAAATCATTTCGCTCATTTGGAAATGATTGATTTTCCAGACCTCTGATTTGTGAAATCTCACCATTTACGCTGGAAGGTTGCTAGGCCCTGGCGGATAATGCTAGCATTATCTAGCATAGTAAGCACTTTCTGGATACTAGCATTGTATTAGCATTATCAGCAGGTTTTGCAGAAAACTAGCATATTCTTGCGAAAACTAGCATATTCTTGCAAAACATGGGATTTTCGTGAGAATTCACAACTCCCTAGCCCTTGCGATCGCGTGAGGCGGGCGCGCAGCGTTGATCATGCATGATGATGATAATGTGGCAGCGCAGACTGCAGTGCAAGTGGTGTACTCTGCAGTCTAGATCCTCTACGGCTCTACATGTACATGCAGGCTTTGTAGCTATTAGTGAAAGGTTCCGCACATCATTACTGTCTCATCGCTCACTCTAGTGAGACAGTACCGGTAAGGTGGCAGTGGCGGGTTTAGGGGGGCGCGGGGGGCGCGCGCCTCCCCCTCAAAAATTTCGACCTAGTTTCGAAAAATAATACAGGGCGCGCGCCAGGTCGAGCTAGACTAGGCTCGGGGCGCGCGCGGCCTGAAACGATTGTCCAAAAGCGTTTGCACGGTGCTGTGCTCGATCTGGTGTTGATTGTACACGCTACAGACTAGTAGTAGTACAGTACACTGTACAGTCTACAGAGCTAGAGAGTAGAGTAGAGTCTACGTACAGTGAGCATGCACGGCTACAGAAACACGGTGACCTGACTGTGTACTGTTGTACAGTGTGATCCCTGCCGGGACGCGCTCGACGCGTCTTCAACGGTACAAACACCGAAGAAAAGTCTTCGATCGAGTCAACCAAAACACGATTCGAATGCCGAGGGCTCAGGCGATCATCCTCGTTCGAATCGTGTTTTGGTTGACTCGAAGGCTTTTCTTCGATGTCTCAGGGACATCCCAAAAGGCCAAGCTCTAGCCAGCAGAGCCTAGAATTTTTGTAAAGCGTTCCTGTGGCGGCGCAACTCCTGCTGCCGCTCCAACAGGAAACAGTGGGAGTGATGAAGTCGCTGTTATTCCAGACAATCCAATTGAACTTTCGGAGCGGACTGACAGTCAAACTCCGCCAGACGTGGAAGAACCTGTTGTCAGCGAGCAGCCAGGACATAAAGAACAGCGCACAGTGACAAGTACCGCTGCCTATGTAAAGGATGGTTTGAGAGCGGTGAGAAATTGTTGGACTCGCATATTAAAACAAAAGAAAAAAGCAGTTGATTCGCTCACATAACGGCAAATTTGAAGTTTACAATGAACATTTGTTGCTGCGTGTACAGAAATACTGCTCATGGTGTGTGAGATTTACGGCTTGTTGTTGTTGTTGTTGTTGTTTATTTTACTTCACCAAATGAACATGCAGAGATGCCTTCTCACCTGCCCATAGGACAGGTTCTCAGAGAATGATGAAGGGATGATATGCAAGGGAAAACAAGAAATGATAATAATAATAATAATTATAACTTATAAGACAGAAAGGACCAAAAGAAGAAAGGGAAAAATTTATATCAAGAACAATTTCATGGAGTCAGAAATAGAAAGACAATAATTTCATGGAGTCAAAGAATAGAAAGACAATCTCATGGAGTCAGGAACACGTGGTTGATTTTATAGACATGCATGCACAAATGATTGATAGATGAGAAGGTTGGAATTTATGGCAGATAATAAAAGTTTAACGAGGACAAAGTAAGTATATCAATGGCAGAAAGAGCTTTTCGGAAGGGACCAGGGACACCTATCACTCTAAAATCAGAGGGGAGAGCGTTCCAGAGAATGCTTCCCCAAAACATCATGCTCCATCGTACCGCAGGCCCACGGAGAAAGGGAACTTGAAGCAAGTTCGACACTTGTCCCCGTGTGGTGCGCTGATCCTCCGGAACAGTCTCTGGGGCCGTTCGGGTGAATAACTGTTGAAGAAGGGGCTACAGGAGGAGCTTCTTGACATTGGTTTTCAAAATGGCTGACCTGGGACAGTAGCATGATGTCATCTACCCCCACCCCATCCCGCCTTGATCCCGGCTGCAACCCCCCCCCCCCCCCCTCAGCCAAATCCTGGACACGCCACTGGGTGGTAAGTAACAAAGTACAGTAAGTATCGTTTATAAAGTGACCGGATATAATGATATACCGGTTATAGTGATAGAACACGTCAAAATCAAAATCAAATCGGAAAAAATACAGCTAAAATATCACTCAATCTGCGGACAGAACTGTTTCGTCCTTTGTGGACTCGTCAGCGCAGCACAGAGGAAATGAGGCCGAACCTGATAGCAGTGGAAATAAAAATTTCCAATCAGGCCCGAACGTACCTTGCCAGAGTGCTCAAACTGACAAGTCAGTGAGCTCTGCATAACGCAAACAGCAAAGGCACTACCCCACGCAAGAGTGCTCAACTGCTACAAGAGCAGGAGCGAAATACTCAATCTGCGGACAGAACTGTTTCGTCCTTTGTGGACTCGTCAGCGCAGCACAGAGGAAATGAGGCCGAACCTGATAGCAGTGGAAATAAAAATTTCCAATCAGGCCCGAACGTACCTTGCCAGAGTGCTCAAACTGACAAGTCAGTGAGCTCTGCATAACGCAAACAGCAAAGGCACTACCCCACGCAAGAGTGCTCAACTGCTACAAGAGCAGGAGCGAAATACTCAATCTGCGGACAGAACTGTTTCGTCCTTTGTGGACTCGTCAGCGCAGCACAGAGGAAATGAGGCCGAACCTGATAGCAGTGGAAATAAAAATTTCTTTTTTGCTAAAATATCACTATATACACTATTATCGGCTATACCGATATATCGCTTATTGTGATGGACTTCAGGAAGCCAACCATATCAAATGTACAGGAAAATATCGCATATAATGATCAAGAGTGATGATCACAAAACAATTGTGTTTTTTTTGTGTTGGCCGATTTTTCTTCACTGTTTTCTGACCAGACAACATTCGCTCCTTGATCGCATCTTTTTGCTTGATGATGGTTGAAACGCTCGACTGAGGCACACCAAACTTTTTTCCTACGGCAGACTGAGACACGCTAGGGTTTCTCTCTACGAACTCTACAATTTCAGCTTTCTTCTCAGTGGAAAGACAAACTCTCTTTTTCGGCGGAGGCTCCATGACCAGACCTTTCACTGGGGAACAACTTGGCAACTAAACAGGAAGGACAGCGAAGCCCAGACTTTCAGGTTAGCTACTGTCACGAATGTCACTCGACGTAGGTCTACTCATGATCTCTTTTTGATCTCGTTGGACACCGAGTACGCGAGTACGGATCCAGCTCAGGCTTTTTTTTTGGAGAACACGCTGAAGAAGCAGCCATGCCACGTGATGTATCGAAGTACTACAGTACATGTACAGTCTGTACCAGGGAGTAGTAAAATGTATTTTACTACTCACTGGTCTGTACTCGTACTGCACTGCCATGCACTGCTCTGTGTCATGCATGCACCGGTACTCAGTCTGCGGAGCATGCATGCACTTTCAGCATGCTTTTTCCAGCGTGTACGCATCATTTCATGTGCAGTCATGTGCCATGTGTCGGTCAAACATGCAAATCGGCTATAGTGATGCACCGGATATAGTGATAAATTTTCGAAAATCAAAAGGGCACGTTATATCCGATATTTACTGTAACTAAACTTAGTTCTTAGTCTAGAATCTGGGGTCACGCAAATCTCGCCTGGCGCCTAACTACAGTCTACAGGTTTATACACATAGTGTCAGTGACGTACAATGGCCATCTTCCACCACAATTACTACGGTCATGTAGTAGTTAGTGAACCAGTTACCATGGTTAACTTATGTCCTTGTGACTTCCAGTTTCAGTGGTCGTGCAAGACTATTGCAATCTTTGTTGCCATCTTGAGGACGGTCGATCGGATCCGTACGGGACAAGTCGATTGCAGAGAAATATTCATGTACACGCAAACTAATTATAAAACTGTGTTCGCATCCGAAAACACTGCTTCACTTCAAATCTTCAATGCCCTCTACTAGTACTACTTGTAGTAGATCTATGACTCTAGCTAGGAGTCTGGGCACAAGCGTTGGGAAAACAACTTGTGATGGGTGTACATGAGAAGGCGGTGAGAATGGGAGCGTTTTGTTTCCACCAACGGTTGCTTATTATTCTTGGTTAGCTGATGAAGAACACACGTCATGGCTATTTCCCAGTAAACAGCCAGAGGCATTGTTGATCTAGTAGTAAGCAGTAGCGATGATCACTTTGATTCCCAGTTTGATGTTGAAGACGCCTCAGAATCAGAGTCCGAAGAGGACGAGGTCAGGACAGCGTGTGAACGTCTCCCCGAACCAGCCGCCTTATAACATCTAGAGAAAAGACCGTCTACTCAGCACAAAATAGACTATTTTATTAGGTCTTGCAACGAAAGTGCGACGGAGCACGTTGCTGCGATCACTGCCTGGCCTGCACGTCAGACTGCCCTGCACTGTACTGTGTACACTGACATGATACTGACTTGTTTTGTATGTTGTTGAAACTCATGCTGTTGGTTGCCAGCATTTCTTATAAAATTACAAGTCATGTGAAGTGTTCCATGCCTTAGAAGACTAAACAAATTCATGTGAAGTGTTCCATGCCTTAGAAGACTAGACAAAATTTGGTATGATGAAGATTGTCAGCTTTTCGTGTTGTTATTATGACGAGTTTGAGCTCCATAATTATGATAACCGTGATCCAGCAGATCACTTGCAGTTGACTGCATACAAGCAACAGGTAACTGCATACAGGAACTGTCGTAGACCGCCCCCCCCCCCAATGCTCCGGCGGATTATTATTATTTTTATTATTTGTTTTTGCATGGGAAGCTAAACAGTGCAGCTGCACAAATATGAAGAGGCCGATGGGACCAAAAAATACAATGTGTATACATGTAAATGTTTACAAAAAAATGTGGGAATGAGTGGTGAACATAAAGAGAGAAGAAGAAAAACGTATTTTGTTCCTGGGTAATATATACATGTAGCTAGTGAGAGGCTAAACGTTGCCAATGTTGTCAAACAAAATTGCATGATATCGTTGAAAACAAACTGGATCATCCAATAAGCGCCTAAAACCACGATCAAACTGAGAGATAAACAAAGAGAATTTCAAATAATTAGTTAGAGCATTAAAAAACAGAGCAGCACGAAGCACAAAGGATTTTTGACCGAGTGTGATTCTGCATTTTAAGGGGGCAGCCGAACCATAAATTTCATATGGCATTCAATTGACCGTAACTTTGGTGTTTCTCAATGGATTTGAGTGAAATTTTGACCACACTCCTGCCACTATGCTGGCCCTCAGAACATGATTTACAAGTTCTTGCGCCTCACTGACAGGCTTTCCAGGCCGGAAAAACTCAAATTTCCGGCATAGTGCCACGGTGTGCGAGCCACCCAGGAGCCAAACAAATGCATTTAAATTTGTTTACATTTTCGTCCTCATTCTGTTCGTGCGCGGGACTCAAACCTAGAACAAGTCCAGAAGCAGCCATGGGTGATGGGGTAGGGCCCCTCAACGAGGCCCTGGAATCTGTCACACCGGAACGAGTGGGCGTTCTCTCACACACTCCCACAGACCCAAGTCAATTTTTGATTTTTTTAGGTTTAGCACGTGCTACGAGGTCGTACCTTTGATACAACATCCAGTGCTGGGACCTCCACAGCAAGCCATTTCCACAGCGCTGTACACCAAATCCAGGATACCCTCAGAAACCAGCAAAGACTACCACTCACGTTTCACTACTGCCTAGTACTGAATCCTACCTGACTTCTTGACACGACTCAAACTTGCCAAAGTCACTAAATCAACGTCAACTACGATAATCAAGCCACATATCTGCAACGTCACGAGGGTGCTGGCAAAAGTCCAGCTGCACGGCGGCGGGCTTCGCCCGCCGCCGTGCAGCCCAATACGTGGCTCAGAAGCCTGATTTTTTGGACTTGGAGCAAAATTCTGCACACTTTCACGTGTTTTCATGATACTACAAGTTGCGCACGGTCTCCTCACATTCAAATACAGTGCTGCCAACAAATGACAGCGTGCAACAAAAAAATCTTTCCTTGCAAGGGCACATTTTCGGCCATAACTCTTGAACGGCCGGTCAGATCGGGAGACAATTTTCAGAGATTTTGCAGCTATTCCTGCTCTTTCAACTGACGAGGCACTCAATATGAATTTACAAATTCGATTTATCAGCGAATTTTTGGGTAGTCTGCCACCTTAAAGCAGCCTGGTCCTAAATTTCATATGGCATTCAATTGACCGTAACTTTGGTGTCTCTCAATGGATTTGAGTGAAATCTTGACCACACACTCCTGCCACTATGCTGGCCCTCTGGACATGGTTTAAAAGTTCTGGCGCCTCACTGACACGCTTTACAGGCCAGAAAACTCAAAATTCCGGCATAGTGCCACGGTTGGCGAGCCACCCAAGAGCCAAACAAATACATTTACAATTTTTTTCACATTTTCTAGCCAATTCTGTCCGTGCGCAGGATCCAAACCTAGAAAACGTCCAGAAGCAGCCGTGGGTGGTGGGATAGGGCCCTTCAACGTGGCCTTGGAATCTGTCACAACGGCAGGAGCGGGCGTTCTGTCACAGACTCCCACAGACCCAAGACAATTTTTGAATTTTGTTAGGTTCAGGGCGTGCTACGAGGTCGTACATTTGATACAACATCCAGTGCTAGGACCTCCACAGCAAGCCATTTCCACAGCGCTTCAAACCGAATCCAGGATACCCTCCAAAATCGGAAAAGACTACCACTCACGTTCCACTACTGCCTATTACTGAATCCTACCTGACTTCTTGACAGGACTCAAACTATTTACTTGCCAAAGTTACTTAATCACCGTCAACTACAAATCAAGCCACATATTTGCAACGTCACGAGCCTGCTGGCAAAAGTCCAAATACGTGTTTTTTGAACGTGATTTTTTGGACTTTTTTGGACTGTAAGTGTAAAGCTGCTGTTAGCTCAAAGTAGAGCTGCGGTTAGCTCAAAGTAGAGGTGGTGTTAGCTCAAAGTAGAGCTGCGGTTAGCGCAAAGTAGAGGTGGTGTTAGCTCAAAGTAGAGCTGCGGTTAGCTCAAAGTAGAGCTGCGGTTAGCTCAAAGTAGAGCTGCTGTTAGCTCAAGGTAGAGCTGCTGTCAGCTCAAAGTACAGCTGCTGTTAGCTCAATGTAGAGCTGCTGTTAGCTCAAAATAGAGCTGCTGTTAGCTCAAAGTAGAGCTGCTGTTAGCTCAAAGTAGAGCTGCTGTTAGCTAAAAGTAGAGCTGCTGTTAGCTCAACGTAGAGCTGCAAAGCTAAATGGATGTAATATAGCGCAAGGCAGAGCCGCAGCAAATAGCTAGATAACACCAGTTGTGAGAGTGGACACTATTAGTGGGTACGATAATTATAATGATGGTGTGAATAAGTTGGATAGGGAGGGATGGTGGGAAAAGAAACCCTGCTGAAGCACGATCCGTTGTCTGGAAGAGCACAACAGGGCAAGCAAGATCTGTTTTCTTTTCAGCAAAATGGGCCGGTGACATTTGTGATTACGCAGGAAAACAAAGCGCATGACGTCAGTCTTGAATGCAGTACAAAGCAATGCAGTGCAGTGTGTGCGCTAGTTCGGATTGTTGCTAACAAGCAGTCACCACTAAAAATTAGGGGTGAAACGATTAGTTCGAATATTCGAGTATTCGTTCGAAAATTTCAAACGAGCGAGTATTCGAAATTTTGCACTCGATCGTTTTTTGTTTTTTTTATTATTATTTTTTTAGGATTGGCATTGTATTTTTTTAAAACTTTTGTTGTACCGCTGGTCCACTGGTATGCATGCGTTATGCATGGGTTTGAGTCAGTATTTTAAGACTTGGACGATGCGATCACCACGGCAAGTAACGTTCTGAGATATGAAAGTTCTGATGAAAATCGTTTTTTTACATTCTGTACAAGACGTTGGCGACTTTTGTTCTACATGTATGTTCACAGATAATTTCTTCCAAATTGGTCGAGAACTTGCAAATCTAGCGCTTTTGAATTTTGATAAAAAAATACTCGAAATAATCGGATACTCGATCGAATATTATGAACGAGTGATCGGTTGGTCAAAATAAATACTCGTTTCACCCCTACTAAAAATACAATTATGCGCGCAAAATCATGGAATTATGCTTTCATGGATTCTCGCATCATGCTCGCAAAATCCTCATATTATGCTTTGGCACGCGGGGATACATGATATTCACTTTGTTGTACTTATGGAGCCCCAAAGTTCGGAAAATTGTGCCTTTTTCGTACTTGCAAGTGGTCCCAAGTACAACAAAATATATGAGCATCCCCATACCAAGGTGTCCGTGCACTAGAGGTCAACCTGGAAAAGGGAAAACATTACTTCTTCTATTCATTTAGCTTAGTTGACTTCTTCTGCTTTGAAAGATTTTTTCATTGCCAAATTAATTTGAGTTACCTTGGAAAACTGTCATGTTCAACTGTCTTCGTAATCCTCATACTCGTCGAACCGATGTCACCCTAACCCTGCCAATTCTCGTAATCAGCTCATCTCTCCCGTAGCTCCAGCCCTCCTTCCATCATGACCGAACATCAACTATACCTCAATTTGTTTAATTATTAGAGCAATATCTATAGCATGTACAGTCAAAGCTGCTAAGATCCAGACGTCATGACTTCGTAACGAGCATAGTGTACATGTACGCGGAGTTTAGCGGACTACCCACCACTATCTCGTCCGCCAGGTGATACCTGATAAAGGCTGATTCACTCGTATCTTCTGCTACATGTACTGTGTCAGGGTGAGACAGAACTTTGAAGAAGACGAGTTCGAGAACAAAAATGTATTGCAATGATTTCTACCCTGCCTTTCATTGAAAACACTATCTGCAAGACCTCCGAACCCTTTACCATGCAAACCACCAGCACTGATTAGGAAAATTGTATACAATTGTGTCGCCTACATACTAGAACTGTGATTCAATCACGCAGTTATGCTCCAATTTCCGAAAGGATGCCAAACTGAGCTCAACATTTTCAACCACCAAATTATGCCAATAATTATGTCGGCATAATCCGCCTGTGCCAACCGCCCCCCCCCCCCTCCCCCCCCCCCACCCCGACTCGCGCAATGGCATCAGTAAAGTAAAGTTACATGTATTCGCGGGTGTATCACGTGACGTGTTTACGAACACACAAAGTAAAATTCCTTCGCATCGGCGGCCCCCCACTTCGCATATATCCTCATTGTCAAATGCAGACCTCACAATAACACACACAATACCTTTTCTACAGATGGGATTAATGGTGACAAATATGAGACAACCACTAAAAATAACCATTATGGCATGCTAGTGTTTGCAGGTTGGTGTGTGATATGCTACCACTCAAGTACGAGACCAAAGTAAGTTGCATGATGTACATGTAGATCTTATGTGACACACCGAAAATCTTTCACCAAAACCTACTCGTACAAAGTCCAAGAGGCACGCTACATGCATATGGGTGTGCGAGTATAAGCTGCAGGTAATTATTGCATGAATATCAGTGAGCCATAAACAGCTTATGCCCGCTCGCCACGGATGCGACGTGCCAGCTGCATGTCCTTGGGCATGATGGTGACACGCTTAGCATGGATGGCACACAAGTTGGTGTCCTCGAATAGGCCGACCAGGTAGGCTTCGCTTGCCTCCTGCATGGCAAAAGACACAAGAGAAGGACGCAGATCAGAGAGTGCACAAAAAAGGCACAACACACCAGGGCAAATCACAGCCAAAAAATATGTAGAGAAACCCCAAATATGTGCCAAATCCCATGACCTGAAGAGGCCGTTCTCCAACACAGATAACGCTTCGAAGTCAACAGGACAAGGGTGGTAACGGTGGAAAGGAGGCAAATTCAAAGTTGTTGTTTTTTTCCGTTAGCCCCTCTTGCTGAGCGATGCTGTATGATGTTGTGCGTGTTCTTCACATCAGGTTCATGTTATTATGCAATTTGACGCAGTATTCACAGGCATGTGACCATTCAACGTTTTTTTTCGTTGCATTTCTTACGTACACTACCTGAAATTTCAATCAACCCACATCTACACAATACCCAAGAGGTACACAAAAGGAATGAAAGTAGGGCTGTTTCGTTGTTACTCAGAGTTTCATGGCAAAAACTAATCATCCGACAAAACCTTTGCGTACGACTGCCTATTCCGGGAATTTGAGCACCATTGCAGGGTAAGGTGCCTATGTGTACACAGAATATATTTCAATAATGCCCCATTTCTAGGACAGGACGTCCCCTGCTGTAGAACCCGCTCGTACACTAAATCATACAACAGTGAACTGCTTCTCAGCAAGTACCTAACATTTCCGTTCACTTAACCAGATATTTTACCCTCGTCGTCATAGCAAATTACATCTATAGAGCACCTACACTATTTTGAGTATTTCTTGTGAACACATAAACCAAGAGTACATAACTGCTCCTGACACTGTACTGTGACTGTGATTAGCACTACTAGTACAAGTACTTGAGGTAGAACTCGTCTATTTGCCACTTTGGATAGAGTTGCGCAGCCCACACACAACTGCTGACACCCACAAGTTCGAAAGTAGTATATCGAGAGGACACCCCCTCCCCCCCCCCACCACCACCATGCATAGAACGTGTAGGGCAAAGGCAAAGGACGTGCGCCACGTCAGTGGTACATGACGATAACGTGATAACGTACATGATGTAACATGATGTTAGGTACTCTTCACAGCATGTATGGAAGACTATGTGTACATGTGATTGTACAAAGAGCAGATCTATGCCCAGGAGAGTCAGAGCACTACATACTCTCCAAACGTCGGGCACAAGTAAGCGCTGAGCGTTCTGTTCTACGGGTAGTACGGCACTCCACAGATGAAGTGAATAGGGATTGGCATACATGAACAAGAATGGTATTTACTCAATCTGTATACAGAACCGGGTGGACTCATAAGAGTCCTAGTGATAAGGGCCGTATAGACAAAATGAGGCAGAAAATGACGGCAATAATTTTGTCACAACCACTTTAAACTAGGCCGGATCGTAATGGTGGTATGAAATCCCAAAAGCTATGCAAGAGACATTACTATGCCACAGCTCAGCAAAATACTTTACGATTAGTTGCGCTAGGCGATGGCCATTGTCCACAGCGCTATAATATCACTACTAATGTACACGATGATGTGTATGTATGTAGTCTTGTAGAAGCGAGAGTTACTCTCCAAACTACGGGTACAAGTAAGCGCTGAGGGTTCTGTTCTACGGGTAGTACGGCACTCCACAGATGAAGTGAATAGGGATTGGCATACATGGACAAGAATGGTATTTACTCAATCTGTATACAGAACCGGGTGGACTCATAAGTGTCCTAGTGATAAGGGCAGTATAGACCAAATGAGGCAGAAAATGACGGCGATATTTTGATAACAACCAGTTTAAACTAGGGAACAGTATCAGGATGGTACTGGTATTATGAAATCCCCAAAGCCACGCAAATGACGTTACTATGCAAAAGCTAAGCAAAATACTTGACGATTAGTACTAATCAACGCAATAAATAGAGTAAGCTGCGCACTCAGTACAAATACCATTAGCAAAACTTGTTTTCATGTAAATAAAGAAGCTTGTTCCTAACCCTTTTCGTCGCCATCTCATCAGAGGATTACTGGCAAATCAACTATAGCTCTTATCTCAATATATATACGCACAATGCAAGTAATAATTTAGACCCTAACTAGCGCGAGAAAATGAGAGCTGAAAGAAACATTACATCAATACCGATATCAGGTGACAACAGATGCGATAAATTCACTACTAGAAAGTAACCATGCAACCACAAACGAGAACTACTGTCGACTGATCTAAATTCACAAACAATTTCAACGTAAACAAATTCTTTTTCTGCCCACACAAATTCGGTTTGGTGGTAATAATGTAGATAGACTCCAATACACGCAAATACCTTTGACTACGTGAACGAGACCAAACAGAAAAGCAATCATCAGTATAACTAGAACGACAATCACTATTCTGAACAAGATTGTTAGCAACAGAAGATTCATACTACCTAACACCGCTACGAGAACCAGTACATACTTTGGAATTACGTGACAATGAAACCGACCTGACATTCCTTGCCGCTACTGCCAATCCAGACGAAAACGTTTAGGAACAAGCTTCTTTATTTACATGAAAACAAGTTGTGCTAATGGTGTTTGTAATGAGTGCGCAGCTTACTCTATTTATTGCGTTGATTACATTTTTGTCTGCACGTAAGCTTTTTAATTAGTACTAATAGTAGCGTTAGGCGATGGCCAGTGTCCATAACGCCATAATACTAGTATTATGTATGTAGTCTTGTAGAACTGTGAGTTTCCTCGTGTGGAAATTACAGTATCTTCATTAAATTACAAGAAAGCGAACACAGCTTTGAAAACAAAGACTTTAAACTATCAAACTCACCTGAAGAGCACAAATGCCTGCCGACTGAAAACGAAGGTCAGTCTTGAAGTCCTGAGCGATTTCGCGAACAAGACGCTGGAAGGGCAGCTTGCGAATAAGAAGCTCAGTGGATTTCTGGTAACGACGAATCTCACGAAGAGCGACAGTACCAGGACGGTATCTGTGAGGCTTCTTCACACCACCAGTTGACGGAGCACTCTTACGAGCAGCCTTGGTGGCAAGCTGCTTCCGTGGAGCTTTTCCTCCAGTTGACTTACGGGCAGTTTGCTTTGTTCTAGCCATGCTGACACAGAAACACTTTACATAATTTTCTTTTTAGACCTCTCATCGACTTCGGCAATGAACAACTAAACAAAGTGTACAACACAAACGGGTTACATGTACGTCGAAACGAGCGCGCAACGCTAGTAGGCAAAATTATTTCGGTCACGTGGAAATGATTGATTTTCAAGACCTCTGATTGGTCCAATCTCATCATTTACGCTGGAAGGTTGCTGGTTGGCCAAAATGTGTCACCAAAAGTCTCATTTTTCTGATGAAGCTCAGCAACAGAATCAAGCATGGAGTAGTAAAATACCGGTATTTTACTATTCCACTCCAATCGAGAAGTGGCAAAAGATCTACGCATGCCCATGGCATCATGCACATCTTTGCATTGCATCACACACTTCATGCCACGTCATGACCATCCCGTGGCCGGCGCTAGGTCCTTCCACTTTATGCGTGTTTATGGAGATAATACATGTAGCTCAGCGAACAATAATCAAGTCACCATGCTCGCCGAAAGATATTTACAGCTTACTCAATCTGCAGACAGCATGCTGTTTTGTTCTTTGTGAACTCATCAGAGCAGCACAGAGGAAATGAGGAGGAACCTGATAGCAATGGAAATAAAAATTTCCAATCGGGCCAGAACGTACCTTGCCAGAGTGCTCAAACTGACAAGTCAGCTACAGCTTATGTATGCACAATTTGACTGGAACCGGACACTCTTCCATTGGCTACCATTGTTTTACCTTTGGAAGCTTTTTAGATGAAGCTTTTGGATGATCGAAACTTTTCAATGCCTGCTGTCAAAATAGCTCGTCGTTGTTATTTGCTTGTTTTCCTTTGTTTTGAAACTACATTTATAGTCTACAGGCCGGTTATTCATTTCTTGTACCATTTCCTTGATCATCAATTTTAGCACTGTATCACGCAAATGTTTAGTCACCTCGACCATTACACTGCGCTCTTTTGCCGGCTAGACCCTCCTGCACACAACCATCACCATTGCGAGGACACTTCCGAAGACGATATTGATAAACTCCTTCAGACAGCTGTTTCGCTAATACATAGCTCAGCAGTGAAGTAAAGGTAGATGTTGAATGATTAAAAATATAGACCAAACGGCTATTATTATGATAAAATAGGGGGTTTCCATATACATGACTGGCATAGCTGAGGTGATAACGCGGGAAAAGGAAAGTGTGGAGTACATGTACTGTTGACGCGTATTGGACATGCATGCAGCGTAGGAAATTCGGCGCGGAAAATCAATCACTATTCAATGCAGAAATAACGTGCTAGAATCAGATTACTAGTATTATATAGCTAGTGAGAGTCTGTGTACTAGTATTGCAGTTGTCCGAGCGCCATGAAGGCCTGCAAACGCACCTCACGACCATCCGACGTCGACAGCCACAGCAGCACGCGAGTCATTTCTTTTCCCTGAATGTTCGAAACTTTCTGAAAATAATCTGCAAGTCATTTCTTTTCCCTGAATGTTCGAAACTTTCTGAAAATAACCTGCAAGTCATTTCTTTTCCATGAACGTTCGAAACTTTCTGAAAATAATCTGCAAGTCATTTCTTTTCCCTGAACGTTCGAAACTTTCTGAAAATAATCTGTACATGTGAAAATGGGTTACTCATCTTGTGTAGCTTTCGGCTACTTGGTTCGCGGCTGTGACGGTAGCTACATCTAGTCGTAGCAAGAATGGTTTGTTCGTCTTCATTCAAGTAGGGCCGTGTTCACAACAAGTGTTGCAGTGCTTTTATTGCTATGGTTAAGCAGCTCAAATCTCTCTCTTTCTCTCTCTCTCTCTCTCTTTCTATCTCTCTCTCTCTCTCTCTCTCTCTCTCTCTCTCTCTCTCTCTCTCTCTCTCTCTCTCTCTTCTATTGGCGCGCCTGGTTGTGATGAAGCCGAGACCCAAGGTCGGCAGAGCATCCCGGACCACGCCACCACTCCCCTTATTCATGGCTCACACATGACGGGTTTACGTGGCTCTAGAAAAAAAAGAAGAAAATATCTGCGCACAGCTATTGGCTCTTCCTCTGCAAGCCATTTTGTGTAGAGTGTTAAGTGTGGTGCATTACCAACAATTAGTTGTTACATGATATACATCTTTACTTATAAAGAAGAGGCACCTGTGACGTGTGTCTGTGTGTTACGCTCAGGCCATCCTAGCCTGCGGAGCAGCGCTGCCCTGAGCACGCGAAGCGTGCGAACAGTGTAGCTAGCGGCCGCAGAAGCACCGATTTACACCCAAAACAGCGCAACCATAAACGGCGCGTGTTCATATTAGCACCCCCAGCACGCGAAGCGTGTAGCTAGCGGAAGCAGCCACAGAAGCACTGAGCACGCGAAGCGTGCGAATCGTGTAGCCACCACCAAGTGCTGAGCACGTGTGCTGTTCATGCCGCGTTCTAGCCTAGGCCATACTATACTAAAGAAGAGGCACCTGTGACGTGTGTGTGTGTGTGTAGGTAGCAGACACGATCCGTACGAGTAGCAGTAGCAGCCGCGCGCAGAAGCACTGAGCACGCGAAGCGTGCGAATCATGTAGCCACCTAGCCTAGGCCATAGGTAGCACTAGCAGCCGCACAAGCGCTGCGGACCACGTGAACCGTTCTCTGCAAATAGAAACATCTGCAACAAAAGGATACAAAAGATCTGCACTGACTGCACTCTGCATCTGATCTGCAGTGAATAGCGCATCGCACTTTTGTTCGTAAGTTTATGAATTTTTTGAGCCGCTTCATCCGCCACCAGGTGATGGACAACCCTGACCAGCCTCCCGAAGGCGTAACAGACGTCCCTCCTTCTCCTTCCAACGATGAAGAACCTCCCTCACCAGGACTTTAGCGGTCTGGCCACCACCACGTGCTGACCACGTGTGCTGTTCATGTACTTGCTTCACCCGCATGCCACGTTCGGCCAGGCAACGCTCACCGGGGGTGCTGCTAGTAAAATATAACCTAAAGGTCAACTGTGTCCAAAAGGCAATCTGGTGCTCCATGCCAAAGGCTTTAGGTACTAACAACCAGACGTGAATAGCTGCCGCTAGTTCGCTGCACTATCGTGCGCAGACTACATGTAGTTTGTTTGGCTGTGACGGCTTTGAGAATAACTGATGGTCCTCAGGATCTGTTCTAGCTGGCCATTACTTAGCCACACTGACTCCTGCTGTCATCTTGTGCAGTTAGTTGTGTTCACGACGAGTGCGTCTCCCTTGACACGCTGCGGTTTGTACACCTCGCGATGGCTAGGCGTGTTGACTGTGGAGTTCTAAGATTAGAATATTATGTGGTGCCCTTCAAGCACAATCATCGTCAGCCAACCAGCCAGGCACAGTGGGTTGGTCAAAGACCATGATTGAGAGACGAAAGGTACCTGGTTCAAGTCCTGCCTGGGAGCGGTTTTTCCAGCCGTGCTGCTACCCACAGTCAACTGGGAACCTGTGGCCAGGCACAAGGGGTACATGGATGCAGCTAATGGGGTCGTTCTCGGCACTTGTGCCAGTGGTTGTGAGGCTTACCCACTCACCCGCACCGTTAGGTGCTGCATCTGCCGCTAGGGTTTACCGGGTGTTAGCGGCCGTCGTGAGTTCCCTTCGGGAACGGACACGATAATTTACTTTACTCAGGCTCAGCTGACGAGGCTGATTTTCGGGCATACGGTGTAATGAGCATTATAGTCCTAGTGCTAGCAATGCTCTCTTGCAGGTTTGCCCAGTGGATACGTCACTGCACTCTAGAAGTTGAGAGCCCACGCTGGCGCACACAAAGTCACCCAAGCTGAGACTCATTGCCCACTCTCAGGTCCTTGACCGGATAACAGCTCCTAGTAAATATTTAGAATTTTCAAATGATTCTTTTGGATGGTTAGTTGATCGCAACCTGTTGTACATGTAGTTCTAGTACCTTTACAAAAATCGTCATGTATTTTTGGAACACCGTAAATTGCGATACAATAATAGCAAACTCAATACCAGTAAAGGACCAGTACAGATTTTACCATGCCAACCGGCGAACAATGAACATGACCCCCTCACCCTCAAAGGCGGTACGATGCCACGCGAAAACGTACATGGAAATGATGACACGTACCACTGCCTATCAACTGGGAAGTGTTCAATCATCAGCTCCACGCACATGATCATACACTAAAACCTGTATATCACGGGCGTGATTTAAAAAATCAATGTCATTGTTCTCCAGGCTTCCATGCCGTATGGGTATAGCGGATGGCTACAGTGGAGTCATCACACAGGTTTTCATGAGATCAGAGTAATTCTTAGGCATTTCTTTTTGTTCTCTGCTTCCGTAAAGATGCCTTTCGTTCAAACGGTTGTTGGTGTTTGTGGATGTTTATTTAGAGTCGCGGTACAAACAGGCAAATACTTGAAGCGTACCTTTCTCCAGGTATGCGATTATTTTCGGAAGTTTACTCGAAGAACAGATATGCAACAGTGCAACGATATTCAACCTAGTCAGAGCTTTGCTACTGTCTCCATTTCTTCCGAGATCGATACCGAAGGCTCTTATGACTCACACGAGAAGGATCAGGAAGAGCCTGAAAATACCAGTATATTGGCTATTTTCAGAGACAACATCTGGATAGTGTTCGATGAAATCATCAATGAGTTGTCAAGCAGAAGCGTACTCAATCTCGCCCTCACCGAGTCAACCATGTACGTAGCATTGCTGCCCGTACTGGAGAAGAGGAAGGCTAAATGGTGGACGTTCCTGAGAACACCGCGGCAATATCCCAGGACTCAGAAACTGTTGTCAATTGTCGGTCGCAATGAAACCTTGAAAGCAGCCATGTCATATATGTCTGAGGAGAAGGCCATCTGCTTCACTGGTTGTTGCACCCCACCGCTCACGGATGACAGGCATTGCCAATATCTCCTTCAAAGGTATAGAAAGAAACTTCGGCTCGGAGACAGACTGATCTGTCATTTTATAGGGTTGATACATGTGGTGGTGAATCTACAAGTCATAGAATCCAAAACCTGTAAGGAACATCCTTTGCAGCTTGGCAGTTACGCCATTTTTCTCTGAAA